TTTTAAATTAGTTATGTCTATCTTATGTTTCCCATTGTACATATGTTCTGCTCCCGCTAGATCCGTCTATTCTACCATATCTTAAATCAATCAAGTGTTCTAATCCTTATAGATAGCCTTGTTTTTCCATTGTAAGTCTCAAAACAACCACTTCAGCTGATTTAGAAAATTCCACACCTTTCTGGTGTGTCTACTTTGTCTTTGAGGTTTTCCAGATTAGAACCAGACTAATATACGGTCCCGAAACCTGAATTCTAAAAGACTCTTTCAATACCTTTTGTGTGTTTGGCGTTGAAAGGCACTGCTATGTTTTTCGGTGTGTCTCTTTCAAATAGAAAGTTTGTGCAATCCTGAAACGTTCTAGATATGTTAACTAATGAATATTCCCACAATTTGGGAATATGAACTATTTATCCGTGCCACTTGCCTGGCAGTTTTCTTTCCTTTATTCTTTTTTTTTTTTTTTTTTTATACTCCAACTACCACGAAGGCCTAAGGCCTAAGCACCCATTGGGTACCGTGGGGCTATAGGGGGATACATGGAATGGGGGGGCACACGGACTCTGGCGAGGGAACACGTGTACATGCAACATGCACACATTCTGGCTCCGCCTACGAGAACCGCCGGGTGGTACCTCCGCGTTCGACAGTCAGAGACCATCTGCCACCTACGGACAATCACAACATCCATAGCCAAGAGAAAAATTTCTCCTGGGACGGGACTCGAACCCGCACAGCGCATGGCGACTGATCAGGAGACCGAAGAGTCTACTACTGCGGCCACCGCTGCTGCCTGCCTAAAGCAATTAAAATGTTACTTGAGAACAACAGGAATATTTTACCTCTTGAGCATGGCTCACTCAAATTTCAGTAAATATACAACCAACATCAGAAGTTGCAGAAATATAAAAATAACACTATATTATTCTCAGCGTATGCACTATGATACAGAACGATATAAATGTTACCAATGAGAAATCCATAGTATTTCTCTCTTTTTTTACTGACTAAATAAGTTGATGAATTAATAGCTTTTTGACGAATTCAATATGACCTAAACAATGGATAATTAAATGGTTAACTATAACCCTAATGTTACATAGAACGCCTAACTGGCACAAATATAATTACTGATAGTTTTTATGCTAAATTTTTGAACAAAGTGTCGCGTTTTCAATTTATACCTCGACAATGAGGGTTCACAAAAATGAAGAACTGCTCCTCACAGGCGTGAGTCCTACTTAAATTCGCCTCGAATTATCCCTGCAGACGGTTTCCTCTATAGAATTAGAAATCATGTTTTGGAAATGAACACGTAGTTTGTAGAAAATGGTCACTTACCAGCTCGATGGTTAAGTGTTGTTATGTCCACGGCTAAATCCCCAAGACGCTCCGACAAAAAAAAACACCAAGAGTGGCCGATTTCTAAGAAAAACCCCACCCACCCTATAATTCGCATTCACTGCGTGTGAGACTATCTTGCAAAATCGGGTAGTGGCGCGCTGAATTCCTACGCAAGAGCACCGAAAATAGCACCAAGTCACCTTCAGCTCTCGTATTTACGGTCGCCAGAATTATAAGAAATGGCCTTCAACGAGATGGAGAGTCAAGTATGATTTTCTATCACAAATTATTAGACTAAGTGCCGTATCGTCAGTCCATCCTACAATTGTAGGACGCCTTTAAGGTTTCCTTGATTGTCATAGTATTTTCTCTCCTTCAAAAATAATATATACATATATACTCGTATATATAAAGGTTATTTTCCGGTTTAAAACGTAGTATAATATAATCTCTGTACCAAACATCCAGCATTTGGCGTGATTGGTAACTAACATTCGTGCTGTCTTATTTATATTATTAGAAGGAATGATAACATACCAGATTGTTTCAACATAAATTTTCTAAAATAAGTTGGCGCTTTATTACTTATTATAATTTTATATAATGGAATCAAGTTTGCCTCGTTAAAAAATTACTCATGACTTCGAGTGGCGTATACTTATGGCAATTTAATAGTATTCTCATACACGTATTTAGTAAGAGTTGGCGCTGAACAACAAATTAGTACCGAATACTGGGGAATAATTGAAATGTGGATGTATGTGCTATGCGATTTTAATAATTTTCGTTTATTATTATAGGTCCGTAATGTATGAAGTTCTAGCAGAAAACGGTGTTTGGGCAGTTTGTGGCCGTACTGCAGGTGTCGTAACTTTCGGTGATGGTGCTGAGGAAAGAGCAGGGGAAGTTACTTTAGACGTCATGCCCTTGTGCGGGGGATATTTGCCAACACCATTGGTCCGGGTGTCTAGGTATATCCATGGAGAAGCAGGAACGACAGGTAAGAATACAGGGTGTCATAGAGGATGTGGCCTGTCTGTGGAATGAGGGGTTAACTTGGAAAGCTAGAATTGGATAACGCTAGTCAATAGACGTCAAAACGTGATGAAGTCCAGGATCTCAATTCTTGACATGAAAGGGTAGAATTTTGGGATGCACCGAGTACTTTGTTTTTACCCGGTATTCGGAGCATTTTATCAAGTACCCGGTTTTGCAGAGTATTACAATTTAATTACTCGCCCGAATATTACTCGGCCTGAACGCACTAAGTATATAATGTCTTTTTGCCCACCTTTCTAATATATATAATAAATGAATACACTATCTAAAATTAGTTAAGCATATCAATATGCGGCACTGGTATTACGTATCTTGAAAAGTGACCTTATGCCGATTTTATATTGGTTTCTTGTGACATTATGTAGGTTTTTCTACAAGATGTTAACTTAGCACTAGCTGATGGACATGTTGTGAACTCGTTTTGTAATTGTACGTGTTGCCTACACATTATGAGGCTTCAGCTATCAATGGTTGGCTCTGATATGATGTAATGGCAATGCATAGGTGCATAGTGAGGATTTGTGTGATGATAATTCCATTGGATTCTTGTCTCAAATACACTTACTTGAGATTCAAAGCTAGAAATTAGTTGCGCATCCACTTTTTCTTATTCATTTTGGAATTACATATGCAAATTTGCTGGATTTCAAAAATGAGATATAAGAAAAAAGTCATATACATGCTAACAGTAATTACACACAATATATATATAGTATATATATATATATATATAGTATATATATATATATATATATAATTTCCCGTAATTCTCCTCAAAGTTTTTGAAAACACAGAAAACCTGAAAAATCGTAATTGATAACTTTCAACATAATCGGTTTTCCCAAAAGACAACATAAATAACTCTTCGGGCACAGCTAATAGATATACTTCATTGGCAGCATATTCAGTAATATTTGTTCACATAGCAAATATCACTGATTTTATACACATGCAGACCAATACACACAGTCATCCAGATGCGATCTTGCTATTCAACCAAATAACCAACTTTTTTCTCAGAGACGAAAACTATAGACCACTCTGCTTCATAGAACATATGCAACCAACAATGCGTGTACACGTGTAGTTAAACCATTTCTCCATAGATGGACACTCACAACGATCCTAGTGAGCAAACGTGGAATGACTGTTTGCACCCTAAAAACTACGTAGTCTGCAAGATGACATCTTATTGGGTTTTTTGACGTTTTATAGGTTTTTACATAATACCCGTTGCCAGTCACTTGATTTGGATGATCTTTGTTTGTAAATCTAGACCATCTTCTGCACTAAGCTTATGAGTTTGTAGTATTTTTATAGCTTATTTTTTACATACAGCGTGTTACTACGTTTTTTTTTGTAAAAAACATGAGGAAGCCTCTGTATCCATTTAAACTATAATTCATTGCCTTTTTCCATTTTTATATTTTCTTTTATCTTTCTTTTGAATACTCAAAATAAAAAAACACAAAGCACGCTAAATGCAATATATGTCGAAAGGCAAGATGAATTACAAGTTTCCTTCATTTCTTTAAAGATACCTGTTGCCATGGATTAACTTATTCCACCTGAGGATTCTCAATTATAGTAGGCATTCGAGATGAGTCAAAATGGGAATGAACATTGCAGCACCATCTACGAGACAGTAGGAGAACCAAGGATTTCTGGTTTTGCAGGGTGCCATGTTAAAATTAAGATGGATACAGATGGCTTCCCGCGATCTAGGCGTAGTACAGGACTGTTCAGGATGTTGTTGCAACACACTGTATGTCGAAGAAAAGGAATAAAGATGAACTGTCACCTGATTGGAAGACAGATGAATACTACATATATTGTAATTTTCACAATATGGCATTGAATAACGTTTTCCGACTGAAGGTACCCAATTAAAATAGGCATTAGAGATGCGCTAAGACGGTATTGAAGGTCCTAGTGCCACCTATGGGACAGTAGCAGAACCGAACACTTTAACTCTTTTCAAAGACGGTTTCAAAATCATTTTGTGGTTTGCTATGTCTCACATTTAAATCCCTTTTTGAAAGCTGAAATACAGTATATGATTGACTATTTCAAGTAGAATACGTTAACCAATGCCAATGTAATGATCAGAAGCAGCATTAATTTGTTTAGAAAATTATTCTTTTAGTGACCCTTTTTATATAATTATCTTGTAATTCAATGTGGAGTACAACAAACACAGTTTCCTGTTATAAAGTTGGCAACGTTTCGGATAAAAATATTTCCTTTAGAGCTTTACAAAAAAAATAAAACACTAACTTTAATATACTTTAATTAACAATTTAAATAATATAATCGATGTATAAGATATATATATTATTACTCATCTTCGAATTTCATCAAGAGGATAGTAATTCCCAACGATTACACACAAAAAAACTAATTAAACAAAACAAAGATAAAATGATTAGATAGGATTTAAAAACGAATAACATTTCTTTCCGTATTCGATTATCATAAAAAAGAATTGTAGATTTAAAAAGTCCGAGAAAATATGTACTTTCCGAATGTACAGCATTTATTTTCGACTGAAAGTTCCGTTATGTATGTCTAAAATTACCTTCCTAGTGTGTTAATATTGTTTCAAAAATGTGCTTCTCTTGTAATAAGCGGGATGAAAAACAAACAATATGAAGCTGTGAAAAACATACCTAGCAGCTGCAAGACTGAATATTAAAATCGACCAAGCCGCACAACAATTTTTTTTTGTGCTTCAAGCTCTTGTAAATGTAAATCAAAACCTAAAATACAATCTTAAAATTACTGATAGTAACTAGAATAAATCAGCGCTAATCACTGTACCGACTACTCCGCCCAGTACCCGGTATTCTGCTTTAAAAAAAAGTAGTACTTGGTGCATCCCTAAGTAGAATGAATAATAGACAGTGGGTGTTGTTCTATTACTCTTTGAGGAGCTGTAGTCCTTAACATTGAAGAAAAAGTGCGGAAGACTCGCCATCGTCCATCAGTCTCATCGCGAAAGATAAAGTTAACATTGTTACTCATTCTTTCTTCTAACAATACGTGTTTTACTAGCTCCGTTATAGCTTCTAAGATCGGTAGTGAGACTCAATTGAAAATTTGTTTGCGAGTATCATAGTTACGCTCACGTAATTACTGAGCATTGGGCAAGTTTTTCTAGTTCATCTTTAATAGTTTAACACAGTTTTTTTTGATAATAAAAGAAAGCTAACCTCTACAATCTCTGGTGGAATTTCTGGAATTTTCATTGAAACAAAGTGGAAATAGTTTTCCAGTGGCGTACTTGTGTTGATTTAGAAAACAAACATTTGCACACAAAATTCATAATTATGCCAGCTAGAGTCCCTTGCAGCTGCTGTAATCAACAGTGTGAGCCTCATCAAATTGTTACGTGCTGTGTTTGTAAGCAGAAATACAAGCATTCCTGTGTGGAAATCAGCGCAAATGAGGTTCGTACTTTAAATTCGAGCAAGGGGTACGATTGGACCTGTAAGGACTGTAGATCCATAGGTAAAGACATTAATGACTTGAAGGCATTAATCATCGATTTGCGTAATCAAATAAAGGATTTGAAAACTGATAACACCAAAAATGCAGATTCAAGTTTTTCCATGGAAGACATCATATCTGAGATTTCAGAGCGTGAAAGACGTAGAAACAACGTAATAGTCTTTAATGTCACTGAGCCTGATCAAAAAGCCAGAAGTGAGCAAAATGAATCTGATAAAACAGTTGTCGTCAACTTGTTACGTGAAGCTGTCCCTGACGTGAGGCTAACCAACATAAAAGTGATGAGATTAGGAATGTTTTGCGGCACAAAAGTTAGACCCATCAAGGTAATACTTGACAGCTATGACTCAGCATTGCAGGTTCTGGTGAATGCGAAAAAGCTTAAATCAAGTAATACCTTCAAGCATGTAAACATCGTACAGGATCGCACCAAAAGGCAAATGGAGCATTATAAAAGTATCAGAACTGAGTTAGCCAGGCGTCATGAAGCAGGAGATAATAACTGTAGGATCAAGTTCATCAACAATGTACCAAGGATTGTTCCTTTAAACTAGGTCGGCCCAATAGTGGATGTAGTGATTTTTTGACAGTGTACTATCAGAATGTTAGAGGGCTAAACAGCAAAATTAACAAATTCTATCCTGCTGTGAGTGACTGTGAGTATAATGTATTTGCTTTAAGCGAAACGTGGCTAAAGCCCGAAGTAAACTCTCTCGAATTATTTCCCAATTCTTTTGACGTTCATCGTAAGGACAGAAAACATAATCAATTGAACCTGTCAATGGGTGGTGGTGTACTACTGGCATTTGAAGCGGCTCTTAACTCTGTTGTAGTAGATACTACGCAGTTTGATACAAGTTTCCCAGAAATAGATTTTTTGGTATGCAAATGCATTGTATCTCATCAGAATCTTTATTTCGCTGTCATATATGCTGCACCACATGTTTCTGTTGATACATTTTGTAACGCTTCCTTTCCGCAAAAAGTCCAGAAAAGATGGAATGCAATGAAGATTCCAACTTTTCTGCACAATCACAGAAAGGGGGTTAACATTAGCTTCCGGTAGCTCAGTCGGTGGCATGAAGACATCTACAGGCGTGTAGCTGTGTGTCGACCATGGCATGGCTAGAGGATAGAAGAACAAACAGAACACAAAAATTTAACAGATTTTATTTAACAAAAAAAAGGCATTTTCATTACATTACAATTTTACAAAAATAACAAAATAAGTTTTACATCTTTGGCGCTGCTATAACGCTATCGACTTATCTTTCGCTGGTCCATTTTTACTCGACTGAAGCCAGGATGGCCAGGGGCTTGAAGGGGAGGTCCCAGTTATGAGGGGTGACCTCCATATAGTGGCTTCACAACCAGTTGTAGGCGAAGTTAAAGGCGATGGCGCTGCCAAGGTACATGCATGGGTGAAAATAT